TTACTGGGAAATGATTTCAGAGGAATTAGATGTCACATGTCTTCACAGGTTTCATGGTAGTAAGGCTAGACAATGAAATCGGATAATGGAAAACACATTATATCAATCTCACTGTTCATTTATCAACTCCCCCCCATTATGAACAAAAGAATGTAATAGATCATTGTCACCAGAAAACAAATAGGAGGACCTGGAATTTTTTTCAACCATTTTTTATAGTATGAACAGACACCAGAGACTGAGTTTCATTTACATAAAAGGTTGCAGATTTGGAAATGCAAACAGAAGTTGATGCTACAAAGGTGCAAGCAAAATCATGCTAATTTCTTTATAACATATTTGTAATTCCTCGCAACAGTTTTTCTATATATCCGCCTTGAGTTTAGCATTTCTTTAACCCCTTCGTGACTGACGACGTACAGTGTACGTCGCCAGCATCGGGGCTGTTTAAACAGACTCCCGGCGACTTTTGCCGCCGGGACTCTGTTTAAACTTGTAGAGCCGACTGTCGGCTTTACAACAGAAGCGATCCTGGCGACTTACCTGTCGCCAGATCGCTTCTGCGTCCCGAAGAAGGGGCCGCCCCCCCCGCCGTACTTCCCGGGCTCCGTTGCCCCTCCTACGGGCCCGGGACATACGTCATTTTCAGGCCTAAAATGTGGAATATAACATGGGTGCAAAAATGGGAAAAAGGGCCTCAGTCATGAAGGGGTTAAAGGTCATAATGTACAGCTTTGGATGAGACTGGGACACAGAGGGGCAAATTCATAGACAGATTATTCCAAAGGCAGTATAAGAAGCAGCCTAGGGCCTACTGCACATCCAGGAGGCCCATCTACAACTATATTGATCCTGCAGTAAACTCTGGGTGTAGTGCACTTGCTCTGCATGTATGGCTGAGCTGAAGTGCAGAAGGAGTTCAACCGAACTGCCGGAGCTTCAGCCGAAGCTCCGGCAGCTCACTCGCTGCTGTTTGCCCCATTCTCATAGGGGCAGAACGGCAGTAAGTGAATAGGCAGCAAGCAGAATAGAAAACATGTAAATAAATGAAAACAAGTTTACAAAGTATTTAAAAAGATGAAAAAGAATTTAAGAAAAGAATAAAAATATTTTAAAGAAAAAATAATTTAAAAAATTATGCACGCCGACCCGACCCCACACAACAAACTAGTGTCAAATTTGACAGATGCTGGCAAAAGATAAACAACTGGGCGGAGCTAGCGGTGACATCACCGCCCATCTATTTCCTATTGGCCGACACCTGCCAGAGTCTTCTAGCATGTCCCGGGCAATAAATAACAAATGGGCAGAGCTGGCCGTGATGTCACGGCCAGCTCCACCCATTTGTTATTGTTTCATGACAGATCAGCGTCCCCAGGTCATTTGGGGACGCTGATCTGTTGAGCTGAGCCAAAGCATATAGGTTCGGCTCAGCTGCCTTCAGCTGCTGTACGGGCTATTGTGAATAGCCCGTACAGCAGCCTTTCGGTTCAGACTGAACTGAAGGGCACAGGCGGACGAAGCGAGCCAAAGGATCAGCTGAAGCTACAGTTGGATCCTTCAGGTCTGTAGTGAATAACCCTCTTAGTGTTTCTGTTATTATATCCACCTTCATCTTCATCCAATATTATAATTTTACATAGAAATAGTGCTTAGCACAGTTTTTCTTTAAGAATGATGATTGTTTAAAGTATGAAACACTGTAAACAAATGTATACTATAACATGGTGTACTTTTCGTTTATTATTCAATAGTTTTTGTTCAGAGGAGTTCACTGGCTGAAAATGTAAAAGTTTTTAGCACTCATAATACAAACTTGTGAATAATAATAAAAGGAAAGCCTTTGTGTTTTGTCTGCATTGAATAATTCAGTGAAGGTTCTCTGGAATCTTATAAATTTACCTTGACAGTGTTCAAATACATTTATTGTATGTTTTCCTTTTAAAACATCTTCAAGGCTTAAAGGAATTCTCCCACATGGCAAGCTCAGCCTCTCACTTCTAAGTAAACAGTCAGGTTGATTTTTCCTTCTGGCATGCAGCAGCAAGGCACAACTAGTGTTATTAAGTGCCAACACTGACGACAGCTCGGTGACAGCAGTAACTGTGTGCTCCAAATCGTTTTGATAGGACGGAGGGCCGGGTCTCTGTGAGCAATTCTCTGTAAGAGTATCTTTGCTATTGTAGTCGAGCCTTTGTTTCTTTGCTATGGGTTCTGTGTGGTGCAGAGTACTGGAATCTGGGGAACAACTGATGGCCAATTTTAGCACATTAGTCTGACACTTGGTAACTGGGGAGGGTAAAGCTATTTCTTGATCCATTATAAGAGATAAGCCAATGTCATTCAGTGATCTGTGAAAAGCAACAAACAGTGCTGTAAAAAACACATCGTACAGTACAGATAACACTAAAAAGTTAGCAAGATTCACTTAAAGTCTCCAGAAACTATTCCTGCTTGTACATAAACTGGACTAGAAAATAAATGTTTTATTTAGTACTGCTGGGTAGAATCGTAAAAGCTGCAAGAAAATAAAATGATTGATTTTCACACTGTTGTCAGTCAGTATTTTCTAATCAGCATGCCGATGGAAAAAGAACTGAAAACTGATGGACAACAGGGACATTTTCCGTTCTTCTAGTTCTTACAAAGAAGATGCTATATACTTGACTGACCTCCTTCATGTAAACAGAGTTAATGTAGGTTTATGTAAGCTTTGGGGTCAAACCCCACAGTCTGCAAGTTGACCCTGATGTGGTTTAAAAAGTGGTTTAAAAAAAAAGTGGTTTATTGGTTCAATGAGGACTGTGACTCCCTGTGGCAAGGAATGCACGTAGCACAAATTGTACAACAGACTTTGCTAAAGTATTTACATATTCTGAACAAGCAGTGGAAGCTCTTTAAAAAAAAATTCACCTCTGTAACTATAGACATTGGAAATAAATTAATCTTCGATGTTCAGTGCAAAGGCCCTCTTAGCTCTTTTCCTATTACTTTCTATTACAATTACACTCTAAACAAAACCAATATTTTAGTGTATGATAGATGCTGGAGATTTGCATACATGCCTTTGCCATTGCATTGGGTCCTGCTCTTTTTTTAATTTATTTATTTATATTAATTATGGAAAATGGAACAGGAGAAGTGGGGGACACCCCAAGGTGGGTGGAAATAACCAGAGATCTAAGGTAGACAAGAGCAGAACTAAGAATTAGTGCAGAGGGATGTCACCACTGGAGACAACTAGTATCCAGGAGTAACTGAAACATCTTGGGGTGAAAAAACAGGATGTTTGACCATAAAAAAAAAAAAGTTTCTTGGGGTTCTTTAGGGGGCACAGGGTCAGAAGGATCCTGAAACAAATGGGTTATGCCTACAAGAGATTGAACAATGGCAAACAATACCTGTATGCTGGGTACACACTATCATATTTTTGCATTAAAAAAAGATGACAGGTTCCTCCATCCATGCTAACAGCATGGATGAACAAATCTTCCACTGTTCGGATGTTGATTTTCCAGCATGTCCCTTTGGAAAAGTCAACCTCATGATTGACTTCTTTTAAGGGCATAGGGCCAACCACAGAATGAATTTCAGCATGTAATCGAGATTACCAAAGGCAGACAACCCTGGCTCCCTCCATAGTTTAACTAGAGTAAGTGTATCCTTCCAAGAACAGAAAGTGTGTTATTTACAGGATTACTAGGTGTAATTAAAGGACAAAACGTCTGAAAAAACAAACCTAATACAGCAATCTCATCTTAGGTCTGGTAAGTTGCAATATATTAAACTCGTATTTTTCGGTTAAGATACCTTTCTATGTCTGGTTCAATTTAAAATAATCTAGCCTTCTAATTAGAAATATTCAAACAATGCAAAGAAAATCAATAATTAGGAACAAATTAATAATAATTAAAAAAAGAGGCATCAAAACTTTGACATTACTTACAAGTGGGCAGATTCTTTCATTTTTACACCAACCACCAGAAAGTCATCAACCACCCGATGCCAAACTTTCTCAACCACGTTTTCTAGATCTACAGAAGAAGATTGGTCTGCTGCAGAAGGGTAATCGCAGTTTTCTGAATCATCCCACAGTGAAACCAAATTTTCCTTAAAGGAGAAGGCACAGTATAAGATTATCTGTGTAGGTTTAAACTAACTTTGGATTTCTCCCAAAAATGAACAGAAATATAGGCCTAGTTGTCATATCTGAGGTTCCTATTTTGGAAAAATATGCTCATGATCTTTAAAGGCAATGCTAAAATTCAGATGCATAAAACTACAGTTCCTCAACCAGCTCCATATTCTGAAACACAGTCCTGTTGGAGATAAATTGTTATGAATTTAAAACAGGAGGTGGAATCCAAATAGAAATCCTCTCCCCATAAAAGAGCCTTATACTTCAGCTATGAGTTGCAGCATAACTAATTCCCCTGCTCAAAAGAACAATTGCATATTATCATGGATCCCAACACCTGAGAACCACTAGATATAACCTAATGCAATTTACATTACAGCCTCCCATGCCATATAAACTATGCATGCACCTGCTGCTTTTTAGGCTGCCATACTTTTAGTGGTTAACTAATTGAACTGCTCAGCATGCACATGTTATGTCAGTTCCTATTAATGTAGACATCCTATCCGTGCCCGCCCATTCCCCCATCGAAAGCCCTTTGTCTACACTAAGTCAGTGGGCAGGCTACTGATTGCAAGGCATCAGCATTGTCTTGGTAGGAAGTAATCGATGTATGCTTGTGGTAGGGGTAGAGAATAGATGGCAGAGTTCTGTAATTTAGTAGGTGAGAACTTGCTGACAACGCTATTTGAGATTTTTGTGCAGCATTGTTAGCCAACATCCAAAAGTTGGGACCTTACTGGATTTCTGGCAGGATTACCAGGTATTTTTCTGTACTTGCAGCATTTTTAAAAGGGTTAGAACATGTGCATGTATTACAGAAATGTACTGCATATGTTTTGTTTTGGTTTATTTGCACAGACATACACTTTAAAGGCAATTCTTGTTTAAAATAGTTTAGACATTCAAATAGATCATTAAAGTTAAGTGGATGGTAATTGTTAATTTACCTCTTCTGCAGAGTGTACAGTTGTCTCTTTGCCCAGGGACATGCTTATTAATGCCTCACATGATGACTGGAGCACTCTGTCCTGTACCTGAAGGTGGTTTTCCATCTCCTCAAGTGATAGTAAGCTGGCCTATAAGAACAGCAGTTTGAAAACATTATAGGAAGGCACAATGTTGAAATTCACAGAGCCCCATAACTGCAAAACTGTATATACCATACACCAGCCTAAGCTTTGCTCCATCACAGTAAACGAAGGACAGTACATATTATCTGCAGAACATATTGCTCAAACAGACTATACAAAAAGAAAAGGGTAAAGAGAAAGCAAATCTATATAAAAAGACAGTCCAGAAAGTCTAACTGTATAACAGTTCTTCCTATAACATATCTGCTGTGCATGCTTTACTTCTTTCCTCTCTGTTTTTCGTTTTACTGGTTTCTATGGCTTATTTGTGCACATGTAGAGTCTCTGTAAAGGTTGTTGGAATTATAACAGAAGAACAACAGTGTAGGAAAGAAAGAAACACTTTTAAGTACCAGAGCATACAAATAAGTTGAATATATGGAACAAGGTGTGCTTACACTAGTTTCTACATTTTAAAATCAAACATGTACTTATGATCTAACCTGTAACCTTGCTTCAAGAGTCTGTACCATAAGAAAATGACTTTGAGGATATTGATTTTCAGTGATTTTCTCATCTGTGCTATCACCCTGAAATGATAAAAAAAAAAAAATTACACACACTTACACACACATGTCATGTCCCCTAGATAAACAATTCATTGTGTATTGTACTGTAATTCCAATATTAGCACTGTTTTCAGCACAGGCACTGGGTAATTTTGAGACCAATGCCGGCACAAGTTAATCTTGTTGCAATGGGAGGGTGAAGCTCCATAGCCAATAGTGCGATAGGAGGAGGCCGGTCAGCCAGTATCTTTTCACACTAATTCTTTCCAGGCCCCCCTCCCATAAACCAAGAACATGTGACAGATTAAGGCCTAGCAAGCCCACTTAAAGGAGAACTATGAGGTGAGTAAATTACACTCATCCCCATAGTTAGAGCCGACGTGTGACATTGAAACTGTCACGTCGGCTCTATTGATCGGGAAGTGAGCAAAAACACACTGCTGCTCCGTTCCCTTCCCGATCATTTCCCTGCAGAGAGCCGTGACTGTCAGTCACCGCTCCTCAGAGGCGGGCATAGCTGGCTCTGCTTTTACAAAGGCAGAGCCAGCTGTCAATCAGCCAGCTGGGTGGATCTCAACAGTATTGTCGGGATCCGTCCCGGCTGCGGCACTCTCAACATACAGCAGGCAATAGCTCATTATATGCTGAGTTTTGGATCACAGGAGGACACAGTATATGTCGTCCTGTGACCCTGAGGAGAACTATGGGCAAAAAAGGTTACCCCATAGTTCTCCTTTAAAAGATAACTAACCTGTCCCTACAAAAAGAACACACAGAGCGTCAGATTTAAATTGCTACTAAGGGTGGCCCAACCAATTATTAGGTTTAGGGGGCAAACACTTTTTCACACAGGGCCATTTGGGTTTGGATTTTGTTTTCCCTTAATAATAAAAACCTTCCTTTAAAAACTGCATGTTGTGTTTACTTGTGTTATCTTTGACTACTATTTAAATGTGTTTGATGATCTGAAACATTAAAGTGTGACAAACGTGCAAAACAATGAAAAATCAGGAAGGGGGCCAACACTTTTTCACACAACTGTAAATATGGTGGTAAAAAAAAACACCTATTAGTGTGAATGGAATAGACCTTGAATCATTTTGAATGATAGCCCTTATAAGATTGCTATTCTCTGTTGGCCATGATCTTTCCTCTACTCCAACAGCAAGATGATAAAAAATCTAAATACTTTATACAGAATTTTCCTTTCATGCTTTTAACAATCATTAACAGAGACAAACAATAAATATGATACTGGTACCTTTGATCACTACTTTTCTTTTTTCCACTAACCTATGACTATAACACTTTCGTTTCTTCTTACAGAGGTCTTTGAATTTCACTTTATTCAATATTTACCGTGGCTGTCGAACGAAATGCTTGCTTTACCACACATGTTGTAACTGTACCCATTATCTGCATATTCTTCGCATTGTTTCCGTGTTTGTCTTTCACACTACACTAGATACATGACAGTAATGGCACAGGTAAAAGTTACTGCAAGGGATAATGCATACTGCAGGGACCAGCTACACTATCTACAGAACATTGTGCAATATACCCTGCCCACAGGCAAATCTGTTAAATCGAGTGGAGACAATGAAATGTGATATTGTGCTAAACCAAACTAATGTCCTATAGAAAGGAAGTGGCATCTTAAAGTGGAACCTCGCCCTCCCCACCCACTCTCACTCCTAACCGTTCCTCTCTAACAATCCGATATTTATTATTCCTTTTTTAATTACTTTTTTCTGGGAAACCTCTTTGCACTTACTGCATTCTCACCTAGGCAAGATTGACATATGTGTTGCCCATAGCCTCTCATGATATCCACTTCATACAACCCAGGAGGTCTTGGGGTACTCTACAGTGCATGTGCCACAGAGCGTCATCAGGGGGCTGGCTGTCTCTTCCTCGTTCCTGTAGCCGGCCCAATTACGGCGCACCGCGGTGCATGTGTGTCATCAGTGAATGGTGGCAAGAACCCTGAAGAGATAGCTGGTCCCCCAAAGCATGTCAAATCAGAAGATGGTGACTTATGAATGGCGGTGCAGCAGCAGAACCCTACAGAACACTGCTGGATCATTGGGCCTACGAGTATCTCAGCATAACTCAGAAAAAAAAGAAGGGGGGAGAAGGGGAGTGAAGTTCCTCTATAAAAAGAATACCTATCAAAAAAAATATAGAATGCAAGAGGCAATTTGTTCAATCTAAGAGCCAGCAAGAATCTTGTCTTTTCTAATCACAGTGCATTTCAGCAAGTTATCTTTAACTCTGTGGCCAGCCTCAGGACATGTGCCACTCTTCTCAGGATCCCAGAATGAAGAAGGAAGTACACACTACCTAGCTCTTGATAGGCCATGCAAGTTATAATAAAAGCCCTCCCCCCCTTACCATATGGATATAAATGTCAGTTCCTATATCCTGTAAGAATTCAAAGTTTATCCAATGGAATATACATCCTAACAACACATTGTGTGAACTAAGAGTGTACAAGTGCACAAAATGACCGATATAGTCACTGATAAAAGATAGTAATATAGTGGGTTGAAGCTCAGTAAGGGCCTGTTCACACCTGTGCATTGCGGAAATTGCACATCAAGGTCGCACAATGCAATGCGTAGCATAGCTATTAATTTTAAATAGCAATCCCAGCTAACACAACACACTACAGTGCACGTGCATTACAACGCACCATAGTGCACACATGTGAATGATCTGTACGTTGTGGCACATTGCATTAAGAAAATTGTGGCATGCAGCCAGAGGCCATCCTCAGTGAAAACCGCATATTAAAAATCATCATTAGAAACAGAGATATCAGCAGTTAAAATGAGGTGCAAATTAGAAAGAACTAGAAGGTTCTGCCAATTGGCAGCATATATGGGCCACTATGAAATCCTGCTCACATAATGTCTGTGAAGGTTCTCATTCATCCAGGTCACGGTATAAATGTAAAAAATAAGTCAAGGCAACTGGACTTGCTGTATTTTTTTTGAAGACGTGTCACTGGTCAATTCACTGAGGAGTGCTCAGAATTGTATGTCGGTGAAACAAAACAGCAGCTACACCAGCGCATGGCACAGCATAGAAGAGCCAAACCCTCTGGTCAGGTTTTGGCAGTGTACCTACATTATAGGAAAAAGGTCACTCCTTTGAAGACAGTCAATTACGCATCCTAGACAGGGAGGAGGACTGGTTTAAAAGAGGTGGAAAGAGGCCATTTATGTAAAAATGGAGAAGCCAAGCTTGAATAGAGGTGGGGGGAGACATCTATTGTCTGCCACATACAATGCTGTTTTAACACCTCTCTCTGGGCAGGTTAATAACACCTCCTAACTCCAATTATGCAAATGCAATCAACATTGGTTGCGAATTAACAGATGATGTGGATTGGAGCAACATTCACCATATTTATTCCCAGATAATTTTTTGTACAAGTCATTCTGAATTGAGGAAGCTGGTCGGATGTCCAGTGAAACGTCTTCAAGAAAAATACAGCAAGTCCAGTTGCCTTGACTTATTGTTTACATTTATATCTGCTCACATAATGTTTTAGCGACCAAAACGAATGAAGGTTCTAATGTGATTGTGTATGGTATCTGTTAATCTTTCTCTAAAAGAGCCTCACAATGTAGCAAAAATTTGATAGGAAAAACCTTCCCCACTTTATCCAAAATGTAAACATTTTGGCTGGACATAAACTTTAATATTTCAGAGAGTTATAACCCCTTAAAAAGAAGCCGTTTTATATTATTAAAAAATATGCACAGCATTACAGAGAAACAGATTTAAAACCAAAAGCCGTAGCTTTTTACTTACTGGATAGTCAATTTCAGCACAGTCTGTCAGCCTAAACGCTTGTTGGCCAGCAGGAAATCTTGGATCATCTTCAAATAGCAGTAGAATCTGATCAGATCCACTGCCAACAAAATCGTCTACCAACGTTCTTACAACGTGCTGCCATGTTGCAGTCGCCTGTAAATGAAACATATGCAGTTTTTCCTTTCTGTTTGAATGGTTTGTCTGCGCATTTCAAAAACTGCCACACAGAAAAAAAAAATAAAAAAAAAACTGCGGAATGAATAAGTTAACTTTCAAACAGTAAAAATTGTTGCTTAATTAGATCACCAAATATTTGCTTTTTCAAACCTGCTCTTAATAAGGGACAGTAGCAATCAGACTGGTTCCTGTTAACGCATCTTCTTTCTTCCATGTTTTTTAGAGGCGAGTGCTGTGTCTTGGAATTAACAACATTACATTACAACAACAGCTCATTCGGGTGTGTGAATTGTATATAGTATAGGTTAAGCCGTTACACCAGCTATGGCAGACTACTAAATAGATGGAGGGGGTCGCACTTCACAGTACTGCCATTTCTGCACGTAATTGTAATGTCGACTGACATTTCAAACATTCTGAAAATGTAGGTGCCCTACTTATATCCCTTGGCTGATGTATTGGAAGCAGTGGAGCAGTACACCTAAGCAGATGGATAACACATCATACATAGCTTTGAGTTAAAGCAAGATATGCGTGGGAAGTATGTGGGCTGCCATTATGGACTTCCTTCTGAAAATACAAGTTGATTGACTGTCTGCTGATCCAATAGCTTCAATATCTTTACCTGGAAAGTCATCTAAAAAAGGAGTTCTGACTTTACTCTGATTTCACTGGCTGTCATTTTTCAGGCGGCCTCACAATTTATCTCGGTACAGCAGGAGTCAGAAGACTCAACACTTCCATGCCTTAGTGTTGTGGAGCACATTAAAAGAATGTGGAAACTGATTGGCAGTCAAGGAGGTTTTCTCTACAATTTGAATGAGTTTTTGACAGAGCAGGGAGACATTAGAAATAGTTTTTACTACTGAGGGAAGATTTCTTCATACTTCCTGTCTTGAATTCATCTGAGACACAAAGTGAAGGAAAATGTCCCCAACAGGGACAAGCGACATAGGGGTTCATTTATAAAAGTTCCTACGAAAGGCTATACTCCAGGGAGATGGGTTTGCATGGTACTAGTGCCCCTAGATGGTACTAACGAGTACAGTATATACTCATCAGCGTCATCTAGAGAAGCTAGTGCCATGTAAACATCATTCACCAGGCTGTGCACCGGGGGAACGTCCATAAATGAACCCAATAGCAATCATAACACTAGATTTGGGAAGGGTTGAAGCCTTCCCAACTCCTGCATGTGAATTTCTGAAATTCCAATTCCTGCGTGTGAATAATTTCACAGAAGTTATTACGAATGGGCACTGGAAATATATATATGTTCCCCTGTTAAAGTAAAAATAAACTTTCTGGGGCTTTCATTTTGCAAAAATTAAAGAAATGCATAATTAATATAATATAAACATTGTTTTGCATTTCTTTAATATTTGCATTCAAGCCTGGAAAGCATTGCAATTGTGATCACTCGATCACAGCTGCAAAGCTCAGACTTCTGCACATTCTCTTCCAGGCAGAGCTCATACGGAGGTACAGCATTTCAGTTAGGAGAGATGGAGAAGGACGGCTGGACTTCAAACTGCATTACATCACCTCATACAGCGTCCAGCCGTCCTCGCTCTGGTTAAATGCGGAAGAGCTGCCCATATTCCCGCATCTACCTAGAGCAAGGATGGCTGGACGCTGTATGAGGTGATTTAATGCAGTTTGAAGTTCAGCTGTCCTTCCCCCATCTCTCCTACCTGAAACGCCGTACCTCCGTATGAGCTCTGCCTGGGAGAGAATGTGCAGAAGCTTGAGCTTTGCAGCTGTAATCGAGTGATCACAATTTCAATGCTTTCCAGGTTTGAATGAAAAATATTATTGAAATGCATATTTTTTTCTATATTATTAATAGGGCTGCGGAAATTAACGATTAATTACGCGATTAATCGTTAATATTTTTGATCGATTAAAATGATTTTGATCAATGACGAAAACACTCACCACTCCGCCGGCTTCTGGGTCTTCCGGGAGTCCCGTCGGACTCCTCCCTCCCCCAAGTGGCTCCGTCGGCTAACGAAGGGAAGGGGGGAGAAGTCCGGTGGCGTCGATGTCCGTGACGTCACCGGACTCCTCCCCCCTTCCCTTCGTTAGCCAACGAAGCCACTTGGGCCGGTGTTCTATCGATAGTCCCAACTTATCGAGTTCTGGGACCGCCTGACTTCCGGTTTCCTTAGAACTACGAGGTTTGGCTAAGAAAGTTCTTCTGCACGAGCGCCATCTGCGGCATTGCCCTATATACATATACCACAGCAATAAAGTACTAAAATGAACTAGGATCACAGTAATCCAGCACATTATTTATCTCAGGTGCCCCACTCAATATGGCCGCCGCTTGAGTGGGGCAACTCAGATTAATAACGTGCTGGATTAGTGTGATCCTAGTTCATTTTATTACTTCATTGCTGTGCTGTATGTGTATAGACCAATGTAGTTGGATCTGTATGTGTGTTATAATTAATCGAAATTAATCGATAAATTTTTTTTATATGAATCGAACTCGAAATTTTTTATCAGTAACAGTCCTAATTATTAATTATGCATTTAATTTTTGCAAAAGGTGAACTTTAACTCTGATTTGCATAATGAACAGTAAATATTTACCGTATTTTTCGCTCCATAAGACGCACTTTTTTCCTCCCAAAAGGAGCTAATCCCGACGCCCGAGACATGCAGTTTCGGGCGCCGGGTGAGTAGTAGGAGCCACTGCTCGTTTAATACAAGTGATCTAATGAGATCACTCGTATTAAAGCCGAGCGGCGGCGATCGAGTTCAGCAGTAGGAGCCACTGCTCGTTTAATACGAGTGATCTAATGCGATCACTCGTATTAAAACCGAGCAGCGGCGACGATCGAGATCACCACTTTCTTCGTCTGCTCTGTGTGATCACTGAGACCGTGGCGCTGTAATCACAGCGCCACCTGTCTCAGCGGTCACTAACTGCAGCTTCTGTCACAGCTTCTGTCATAGAAGCTGTGACAGAAGCTAGTCTGTCGAGTGCTCCATAAGGCACGCTGGACCTATGGTCCGGTGCGTCTTATGGACCGCAAAATACGGTAAATAAAAGTGCTTTTACTTTTGACACATCTATAAATCACCCAGAGACCTTACAGGCAAGAGTTTTAGAAGGACAGTTTTACATTTTCCTTTTATTGAGCATACCCTGTATAAGGAAAGGAGACAAAGGAAGTCTGGAGATGCATCTAAAAAATATCTATATAATTATAAATAATTACCTGCAACTCATCTTTCCGTATCGCACAAACATCCCCAGAAGCAAAGGACAAAATACATAACACATCTGCTTGGCTTGTATATGCAACTTGTAACATTGACAGATTTTCATTTGGAATCTGCCAGACCCGTTTAGGAATTCCATTTTCAAACCAGATCAACTGCTTGCGGCTGGCCCCTAAAGAAGACGTTTCATATGTATGATTCTCACACCGCATAGTACAGACTTCAAGACAGCAGAGCACACTTGTATATGCATGTGGAACAAGGCAAGATCCTGACATGACCGTCTGCTTTTCAAAGTTGTACAAAACAAACTCACTTCCATGAAGAGTTCTGTCAGGATGAGAAGTTCGTGGTACGTTTCCTCCTTCCCCTCTCATATTTGTTGCTCCCAAAGCGTAAGTACCATCTTCAACAGTTCCAGCCCAGTGTATTGCAGAAATATTAACTGGAGCTGTTAAAATTTCTGACGTCAAAGATGAAATATAAAAGATTTTTTCATTTTGTCTCCAAAGAACAGTTGGGCCGTCAATCAAATGTAGGTCTTCTATAGATTCAGTGTCTACTTTGAACTTAAGACACAGTTCAACCTCATTTGAATTGTGTACTAGCAGCAAAAACAGCCTTGATGGACCACTTCGCTTTCTTTTCCGTGTCTTTAGCAAAATGCAAGGTAATTTTATACCAGTTCTTACATCTGTGACACATTGAGAGCATACAAAAACAGATGAAGATTTAAGGGTTTGGATGCTGTGCTGTCCAAAAGATGTTTCGATAAATGTTCCCGAGTCTGCATGAAATCTTCTTCTTGAAAATTGTAAAACATGTTGCTCATCAGCATTGGAAGTACCTTTTATTTGTGAAATCTGAAAGATAATGATTTCCCCATTGTAGGCCAACATGTGTTCAGGATGTTTAAGTGTTTCCATTGATCAAATACTCAGAATTTACATCTGGAGAAGTTGGCAATAATCTGAAAGAAAAAGGTTAATTCTAAATCTGTATTTTGCTGTTTATATTTGGTGCACGTTAAAATAGTATTTTGTAAACAAATTTGTATTGCATATACACTATAGTTCTCCAAATTTGCATGTAAGCCAAGCTAATCAGCAAAAGTGTAAATGAGGGAGATTGGGACAAACAATATAAAAGTGCCCAAACTATCAATTATGTTTTCGATTAATCAGATAAAAAAATGAAATAAATACAATCCCGAATTTAAAATAAAATATACAAATGCAGTGTTACAAACATTAAGTTTACTTCACAATAAATCTGCATGCACAGTTTTGCAAACTCACTGCACTGGAACGCCTGGCATTGCAGTATCACGCATTCCAGTGCGGGAGATTGCACTGCGGACAGGAGCCGCGTTTGGGGTGCATTGAAATGATTGGCAGCGCAATGCACAATCCCCCAGCAGAATTTGTCAGGCCGAAACGAAAAATGACTTTTGTCCCACCTTTCTTAATTAAAAAAAAAAAAATTGTATGCATTATATTAGACATTTTAATTAATTTCATGGATTTAAAACAATGTGAATTGAAAAACTCCGACCAATAATCAGTTTAGAGTTAGCCATGAATATTGCTCCAAGAATTATTGCTCACACCTGACATGTGTAGCACAATTGTCGTTTTCGTACATAGGTGGACCCAACTTGTGTTTCTGTTAGTATGCGCACGTTCGTGGGGTCAGGGGACTTTACTTTTTTTGGGTAATTTTTATTTTATTTTTGAAAACTTTTTTTTTTTACTTCTTGGCTATCACATGAGGGGCTCACAAGCCCCCTATGTGATAGCACATCGGAGGTGACTGGTTCTCTTTAAGGTGACATTAGGGTTCACCTTTTCACTTCACTGCCACAGATAAATGTAAACACAGTAGGCAGTGGCTGGGAGCAACAGCCAGCCTGCTATTGGTTATTTTAAATTGCAATCAGCAGAGGAGGGACCGAAGGAGAAAGTTCTCCTTCAGGTCCACTCCTTTGCTGATTGACAGCAGGCAGTGTGCGGGTGCAATAGCCAGCCTGCTATTGCAATTTAAAATAACCAATAGAAGGCTGGCTGTTGCTCTTAGCAACTGGGAGCACCAGAGACGCAGCAGGGGAACGGGGACGCATCACAGGCTCAGCGGGGGGAATAGAGAAGCATCAGAGGCACAGGGGGGGGGAATGGAGTAGCATCGGAGGCACAGCGGGGGTAACAGGGAAGCATCAGAGGCACAGCGTGGGGAATGGAGTAGCATCGGAGGCACAGCGGGGGTTATGGGGAACCATCGGAAGCACTGCAGGGGGAACAGGGAGAAACGTAGGTGCAGTGGGGGCCCAATTAACTAATCGCAGAATCAACTAATCAATAATGAGAATAGTTGACAACGATTCTCATTATCGATTATCATCGATTTTATCTATTAGTTGTTGCAGCCCCACGCACAACCATCATTGCAAAGTTTTCTGGCCAGTCAGCTGCTTCTGGACATTAGTGAAAAACTCCATTCATTCCTAGGGCTTTCATGCGTCCCAACATTAGATGACCTCCGGGCCGGGCCCACACAGCAAAGATCTGGCAGGAATGAGGAAATGTGATGAAGATTTTTGGAGGTGCTGGGGGAAAGGGGGTCAAGTATAAGATATCTGCACTAAAAGTACAGTTATGCTTTCAGCATGCAATGCTGTAAGGGTATACATTGTATACTATGCACAAGAAACCCATCATACATTATTATCTGCAGCCTTCAAACTATTCAGTTAGTTATAAGAGTGCCTCACAGGCCTTAAATAAATGATAACATCATCATCAGGGAGACATTTCTGCTGCTTAACCCCCAGGAAGCAAGGCAGAATCGTCTGCCTAACAACATGCTGGGAAATGAGTTATTTACTTATAATTCCTTTTCCAAGGGAGGTGTCCAATTTAGGGCACTTGACCTGGAGCCATGTGGTCTCTTTATCAAAGGTAAATCTTCTTTTCAGATGTGGTCTTGAACTGATGTGACCTTTGTCTGCTCTTGGATCTGCTCTGTAGGATATATCGCTTTGAGCAGTTTTTCCATCACAGGTGGAAACATATATCAGCATTCTTCCTTTGCCTCTTAAGGTGGCCATACACTTTACAACCATCGCAAGACCGTAGTCTTGAGATGGTTGTAAAGTAATAAAAAAAACGTACGATCTGCCCATCTTGGACAGGCAGATCGTACTCTCGACCATCGCAAGCCGCCCCCCTGAGGGGCGGGCTTCCGATGACCGCAATGCTGAACGAGCAGTGTGCGTTTGCGCACACCGGCCCGTTCGGCATTTGTCTCCCGAGCACCGTTCAAACCAGCCAGAAAATCGTACGATTTTCAGCTGGTTTTCTAGCGTGCTGCTTAGACAAAAGACGTGCAACCGTACAGTAGAAACGGTCGCACGTCTTCATTCACACTGCTCGATCCTTATT